TTTCTTGAAGCTGGGTGTAACCATTATGACACCTGGATCAATGAAATCAATACTCATCCTTTGCTAGGCGCATTCAACCTGTTCACATGCTTTGGGTGTCAGAGACAGCTCTGGAGCTGTCTCAGGCTACTCTGTATTTGATTTTCCACACATCCGTCCATCCAAGCATCCAAAATCCAATTCAATGTGTTGTGGGGGCTGGACCATATCCCAGGTGCCATAGGGCGAGAGGCAGGGTGCACCCTGGACCCAATTTGTCACATGGCTTTATTTGGTATTCGATTTTATGAATTTTTTTTTAATACACATAATTTTTTTTGATAGGCAGCATCTCAGTGATATCCCTTTTACTCTTAATTTCAAGAATAATCATACAAGGATTAGCCATTAGGTGATAGCTCTGTAATCGCTCTGTTTCGTTGCTGCTGACAACCTTAATGTGCCCATTTACCTTTTATTTCTAAAATCATCCTGTCTCTGAGTTTTTCCTTTAAATTGATAAGGAGTTGATAAGTTCCCCAAGTTTCACAATATGTGCCAGAAATAAATCATCCAACACATGATGAGTGTGTTCTGTCTATTAATAACTGTGTACATAAAGCAAGCTGTGCTTTTCCTCTGTGGAACTGATTTACTCGAAGAAGAAATGGGCGGGGTGTTTTGAGGTAAAAGGCATCAGTTGAGTGCATCTTTGAGGGGGTTTTAACTCTAAAGGGAACTCCCCCCCCTCTCTCTTTTTTAAAAAGGGTAGGGTGTATAAGCTGTAGTTTATTGGCATTGTGCTTGTCTGCAGTCGGAGAAGTCCACGCTTTTATGAGCAAGGAGGTAGTAGCTTTCTGCTCTCTTGAGCCCTGTTCAAAAATGTCCCAAAAGCATCCAAAAGACTTCACTTGCTGCTCTTGCCAAGGAAAATACGTCTTCTGAAATGGAAATTCTGAGACCATTCACAGAGTGCCAGGAATGATTAAAAAAAAAAAAACATGTCCAAAACCGTACATCCAGGCGTGAACCCTAAGCACACATACATACCTTGGATAATCAACAAACACCATCAACACTGATGGTATTTCTCTTTTCCTGTCTGGTGAAGGGATTTTATTTAGATAGGAAGTACCTTAATCTCATTTTCATGAGCGACCTTGAAGGGGAACTCTGCTAATTTCAAACGTTAACTCATCGTATTGAAAACAGTTATTTTCCTTATTTGTTTGTAATCTTTATGTCCCTTCTGTGGCTCTGAAGGGAGTTTTTTTTTCATATCTATCAACATAATCGGTTTTTCAAACATGATGGAACATTGACGCTGCGAAATCCATTCTTTAAAATGGTTTGCGCTGCGCACCACTGGTTACTGCGCTGATGGCTTGTTGGCATGCTGGCCAAAGCAAGGATGTGGCTCACCCGCAGCGCGCTGAGAGTTCAACTAATTTGAACTTTGACCGCTGCGCACTGTGACAAACAGCGGCAGACTACCAATCAGGAGCATGGGAACATTTTCCGGTGGCTTCAGGGTCATTTTGGTCATCAACCATCAACAGCTATATTGTAGCAAGCAGGAACGAGTTGACTGCCCCCCACTCCCAGCGAAAATCAATGCATCAGGCGTCACTATGTCATTGCTAGAAAGTACGCTTTTTTTGCGGTCTTTTACAGTCGCCAACAGACATAGAAGGCAATATGAAGGATAAGCTGATGCTGTGTGTCTGAATCCCTTAAACTCCACTTAATTCCCACACAAATTATCATTTGACATCCTGGAGAAAACCCAGGTTCCAAGTAGACATGTCAGTTGTATGTTTTACCAGCCATGCAGTTTGTTGTTAGATACGAATATGAGTTAACACAGGTAAGATTTTCTTTATATACATTCCCCAAATAGCTCTATGGATTTATTGAAACCACCCTGCTGTCTGACTTATCAGCATCATATCTGGTGTCACTGACGCCTGTGCTGCTGTTCTTCCTTTGAGAGTGCTTGGGTTTTCCATCTATGCATATGGAAGAGCATGGGATTGAGGTGTGCTCTTCAAGGCTTTTGCTGGGGAGGCCTGAGAGCAGAGCCAAGCTGCCAAGTATAACTTAGTCATCTGCAAATGGAAATAAGAAGTTCTCTGACTAAAGTGGTCCTGTTTGAATTGCATTATTTATGTGGTGTTTAGCTTTGTAGGGCACCACTGACCGGATTGGGTTTAAGATTCAAATCTGTTGAGCCCTTGACCGCATAAAATGCCATAATTTTCCTGGGCGCAGTTGCTCTTCAAGTACTAACTCAGCAAGGAACTATGCACATAGCTCTCAAGACCAGAATTAGTTCAACAAGATGAGGTCATGAACAGATGCAGCTTAACATGAAGCAGGCTGAGATTGAAAATCAGCTGTGATTCGGCTGATCCGTCTACTCTGCTAGCAAAAAAAAATCAGTAGCGTTTATGTCCCAGTGTCTGCAAAAGTATCACTCATCCGAAGCGCTTTGTCTAGCAAGTTTTTTTCCCCTCATTTCACCTTCTTTATTGAAAAATTGCTACAGCATTTCTTTACTAGTTTTCAAAAACCTCTGTGCACTGGCTGACTTGAAAGAGAGGAAGTGCTGCAGTGTGCAAGTGAGCTAACAGTCGTAGGTTAGTTATCAGGCCAATGTGTCACATTGGGGTGTCCAGGGGCACAGAACAGGGAAGTGAGCTGCAGCGAAGAGGCCAGCAACAGACAGCCTGGGCAAAACACAGGCAATGCTTATTTTGCATCAACTACAGCTCTGTCCCTTTTATCCATAGCGCTAGTTAAGCATTTGTTTACATTTTTAAATGCATTTCTTGCTTTGCTTTCTTGCTCTCCCTTTTTTCTTTCTCTCCTCCCTTTGGTAGAGGACTGGATGGGAGGGGGGGTCTGTTGGCATTCTTGCACTGTGTGCTTTGCGCTCGACCGGGCCTTGGCTCATGTCCATATCCCCTCTCTCCCCTCTCTTGCTTCTCTGATTCCCTCCCTTCCTCCTCCCCGCTAAACAACCCCCTCCAACCCCTTCAACTCCCCATGATTGCTTTCCTAACCACTGCTTTTGCCAGTAACTCTGCGCTCTTCAACCCCCCCCCGGCCATCTCTTCCTTAGCTATCACCTTCCTGAATCCATCCTCATGTAACCCCCCCATCCCCTCCCCCCAATTATTCATTACCCCTTCCCTTCCTCTCACCCTTTTCCATCCCTCTTCCATCCCAGCCCGTGGCAGCAGGTCCAGCCTCTGTGACACAGATGCACCCAGTTGCTCTGGGCGTTCGACATGGGAACAAAGCATTGGCGGGGCCCGTCTGTTGCAGTGTGTTACAGGGTGTGTGGCATTTTGTGTGTGAGTGTGTGTGTGTGCTAGTATGTCCACATGAGAGGAAAAAGATGAGAAGGGAAGCAAAGATGGTGCACACAGCCAGATACTAAATCTGGTTTCATTAGCTTGTTTAAGCCCCAACTTTTACTTGAACAAAAAAAAATTAAAAATAAATGTTTTCCCGTGCTCTGAGAGTGAACACCCAGAGACAGTATCAAGCACTTGCACAAAGTCACAGTGTTGTTCACCACCAACCGACATGCATCTTTTTTTTAATATAATTTTTTTTGGCCAGTCAAGTACTTCCTTGTTAAACTCCATTAATTAACACTGAACAGTTCATAAATAAAATTATTTGATTCACAGTGTTGGCAGCGTGCTAGTAGCACAGGTGTAAAGCTAAAAGACAAGAGTAAGCCACAGAGCTGTTTCTGGCACAGTGGTTTTTAATTTGACATGCTTTCCTTTTGGTTTTTTTGATTCTGTATGCAGTGAGGAAATATGCATGTATAATAAACGAGCGCATGAGGTCAACATTTGGTCTCACAATGTCTGATGTTTTCTAGAGAAGTTTGTCTATTCTAATTTTTAACACTTTTTTTTTAAGGCAGCCCGCAAGCTTCTTGCTGTTGCCTCAGTGAGTACACAGTCAATAGTCGTCAACAGGGAACTGGGAGATGGTGAACCTCAGGTCATGGATGTTGATGTGCAGTGGGAGTTTCACTTCATTCACTTAAACGCATTAACAGGCACGCAAATAAATTCAAACAATAAAACAAAGACAGCAGAAAAGTCACAATTAGGTATACTTGGAGTATTTCTTCTGCTAGAACTGACATCAATCTTCACCTGCTCCCTTTACCTTCTTTTTTTTAACCGAGGGATTGTGGTGGGGACAGGAGGGCTTGTAGGAGGGAGAAATGAGATGCCTCAACACTCCACTGCCCTCCTCTCTCCATCCAACTCCCCCACACACCTGGGATGGCCATTTCATTTCAGAGAGCAGCAAATGGAAAGGTGATCTTAATCTACCCTGTTTCCTTCTAACCCCCCCACCCCTCCCTCTCTCCATCTCCCACACACAGTGCCTCATACCGCTGATGGACAGTGCACTGCTGGTTGCCTGAGCCTGCTGCCAGCAGAGCAAATTTAGTGATACTGAATAGTCATTGGTTTATCACCACCAACAAATTCTTTTCAGTTTCAACTCAGTCTTTGTTCTTATCTTTAATCTTTTTGATTTTTTTTTGATCTTCAAGCACTAGCTGTTAGAAACAATTCTTTTGTGGGAACGAAAGCGATTGACATTTGACTTCAGTCAAAGGAGTGCGACACGAACTCCTCAACACCCTTCAGTTATCTCATTACTCAGTGTTAGGGCTCCCCGACTGCCGTTAGCTCTTTGGTCATTACCATCACAAGCAAAGGAAAGCAGAGACCATTGATTTCCTATGAATATCCCTCTGCAGGCCAGTTCATTAGGTACTGCTCACAAACCCACTGGATTAAATGGACTTTAGGCACATGGGGAAAAGATTGCTACTTTCAAGAACTGTGTGATTGTCTGGCAGAGCCAAAACAAACTGAAAGGTGTTCTAATATTTTTGCTTTTCCATCAGCAATAGAGTGAGCATTTAGCACAGTGAAGAAAAATGAATGGAAAAGGAAAAAAAACAACTTTTTGATGTAAGAATAGCAAACCCCTCGGGAAAATCAAGTTTTATCTTAAGTGTCTCTGACTGGAGAGGTTTGGGTTTTTTTCTTTTTTTTCTCGTGAATGAGGAGAAAGTGCATTTGCCATAACGGTGGTCATCCCGGGGAAAGCAAAACCTCACTTTCTGCCTCTCTTAGTGCACTCCTCTCTTCTTTTCCTCCTCAACACATGGCTTGAGGCTGGACCGAGGCTGCAGCTCCACCCGCCCAGTCGTTACCATGGCAACGCTATCTGGGCCTACCAAGACCTGAAGCCGAAGGACATCCTGGACAACAATACAATAGCAGCACAGCCAGGGTACCTGAGGGACTTAGACCTGTGAGGCGAGATCTGGGGGGTTGCAGATTGAGGGAGTAAATCCTCCCTCTTTCTCTGCCTCCCTCACACACTCAACTCACAAACACAGTCAGGATTAGCCTTTCGCTTGAGACTCTGAGAGGTAGAGGAACAATACTTGGCATTAAACAGTTTTGCGGAAACAATTTTTGCATAAGAAATGTTTTCCGATAGCTGTCTTGAGTGGATACTTTGGTGAGTAAAAAACAAAAACAAAACCCAAACGTTTAATAATTGAGCAGGCCACGGGGATTTTGTGTAATATGCAATATGTTTAGTGTGGTTAGATGGCCAGGACATAAGGTAAACAGAGATAATGTATGTCATTCATTACCGCCTCAGCTTTTATTCCTCAGAATTAGAATGGTCATGATTGCTGTGGTGCTGCTGACTATGAGGACTGGGCCGCAAACCCCGCTGCTGGTGCCAGCAGTGGAGAGTAATAGAGATGTTTAGGGTCTATTTGCCTTGCTTGCATTCCTCCATGTACTGCTGCTAAAATAATAAGAGGGAGGGTTACCTCAGGTCGGGCCCAAGCAGAGGGATACGGAACATGCATTGTTGTCATTGGCTCCATCTGAGTATCGCTCTTAAAGCCACAGTGCGGAGCTGAGGAGACGGGCACTGCTGCCCACTTTACAGACACACCGTGCTGAGAGGCAGAGGGATGCGTGGATCTTAAGAAATACTACAAATAATAATGTGAATTAATGAATATTACATTACACCTTTAGAAGTGCCACAACTTCAAACGGCGCTCATTGTTTTCTCTATAGAAGTGGCTAAAGAGGAAAACTCTGAAGACGGGTTGTGTTTATGCCTTTGCTGTTGATTAACTGTATATGAAGCATGTGTTTGTATTCCATTGCAGTCTTAAGAGGATTTCTTTCAGTATTACTAAGTGTTATTAGCCCCACAGCAGCCCACCAGGCAATTCGAAAATCTTTATTATAAAGAAGAGGGACTCACAGTTTGTGTGCGTCTTTTTGTGTGTGTGTGTGTGTGTGTGTGTGTGTCAGCTTCTGATGATTCTGAAACATGAAGTCATGTCTATTTAAAATTTGTTTATTTCTCAGTGGGTGTGAGGACAACATTGTAGATGTCCATGTGTGAATAAGTGAGTGTGGGACCTGCTTAGTTATGCTAAAACACCCGTCTTACACCTCCTCTGTGTTCCTTCACAGGCAGGCTAAGAAACAGGATGTTAATGCTTGACGGAATGCCTGCAGTCCGAGTCAAAGCCGAGCCCCTGGAATCGGAACAAGGGGTAAGAGAGCAGTTGTTTTCCAGACAATTCCTTTTTTTTTCCTGCTTTCCTTTCCTTCTTTCCTCCTCCCGGCAATGGGCTGATAATCACTCCCAGGCCTAAGCAAGTGAGTGACTGAGACAGAGTGGGGGCTTAGAGGAGTGGTCGGAGAGCATGGTAGTAAGAAAAGAGAAGAGACGAACCAAGAGGAAGAGAGCCACAGCTGGAGCAGGAATGCACTGGGGGTCTTTTAGGGAGGTGACTGGAGCCAGCGGAGTCCACGCTGGCTGGCTGGTCGGGTGGGTGAGGCCTGTGCAGATGTAGCCTCGTCACTACTCTGAGGAGGAGGAGGGTTGCATGGGAAACTAAATCTTATCTATCTCTGCCTGTTCCTGCTTCTTGACATCTCTCAATTTTCCTTTATCCTCCCTCTGGGGTTTCTCACAAAAACACATGCACACATTAATACAGGCAGACAAACAACACAGCATGCCACACTCCTTCTCTGCACACACTATTACGGCTTCATCTGCTGCTTTGTTGTATCCTTTGCATGCCTCTGCGCTCTCACAGAGCTCCATGTCACCTCCGTGGTGTTTCTACACAGAGTAAGAGCGTGTCACTACAAGCCCATGTGAGCGCGGTTTAAAAATTCCACCAGCAAATCTGTAATAACTTTGTTTTACCCGATCGGCTACATAGAACAATTTACTTTCATGAGTTCATTTAAATGTACTGATCATGTTATGTATAACAGAGGCACCTCGCGTAAGCTTTTCATGGCCCACATACAGTATCAGTGCTCTCTGGTCTGACGTACCTAGAAATAAAGTGGTCTTGTTATGGTGAAGCTGTTGCTAGGTTACAAAGGCTCTGTGTTGCTGGCATAGCTGTGTGTGTAGTGGGCGCAGACCACTTAATATTTGTAACCATGATGAATTAGAATTCACTTATTATTGATTTCCATTCATAACCTATCAATAACATTTTTAGCTTTCTAATAAATCACCAAGATCACTTTGTGGGATAACGGAATAGTTTCTGTTGAGATGAATCTGGGAGCATTAACCTGTGATGGATGAGAAAAATACGGGCTGCTGATAACCCGTCAGGTTATCGCGGAGACCTTGCAGAGAATTGTTTGGCTGTGGAGGTGGTTTGTGTTGATAAGAATTGAATCTCCACATCTAAGGAATTGGCATAGAGGGAGCAGGTGGTTACTTTCTGGGTGTCCTTTCCTCAGCTGCGGCTTAAGGGTTTGAGAGCTAGGCTCTTGCGCTGCTACCTCATACCTAGGGTTTGAAATCATTCTCCTTGTAATGATGTCAGTCACAGACAGGATGTGAGCACTGCAGCCCACACAGCTTTGAAGTGCACCAAGATCCAATCTTGCCCTAACAGACCGAGCTTCCCTTTAGATGGCAGAGGCAGACAGACAGTTTAGGCTGCTGCAGAAATGTGGTCTTCATTTGGGTGGCGTGGGGCCAAGGGCTTGCTGGAAATGGTCTGCCTCGTTAGACAATTCGCCTGCAAGGGGCTGGAAAATCTGCCCCGCTAACCATTATCCCCTAATAAAGACAATGGCATGAGGACGGAGGCAGGCAGGCAGGTTGAGCGGCTCTTGCTGTATGTGTGTCAGGTTTGTAAGCATGTGTGGGTTTGTATCTGTCAAAGTGAGAGTAGGGGTGGCTTAAGTTTTCCATTTCGTTTGAGTTGTGTTTGAAGAAGAAAAAAAAGGCAGAACTGTCGTTTCTGCATGTTTTGTTTATGTATAGACCGTTGTAATATTTTGACGAGAGAATTTTAAATAGAGTTCTTACTTCTCAACATTACGGCAGCACTCACAAATGAATGGAAACAAAAGGTATAATACCAATGGACTAAAAAAAGCAGTAGATTTACTTTTATAGGCTTGTAATAGTTTTGCAAGTATACTTTTCTGTAAGTGGCATGTTTGATGTCTTGCTGTAAACTGAGTTCGTGCCATATGATTATTTATTGTAGTGCAATTTGCTCACTTACCATCTAGTGCATTAAGTTACTTTTAACTACTTTATAAATAAATTAACAGATAAGTAAAGTTTTTTTTAAGAAACAGTGTATATGTATTTTATTTAAAAAGGAAATGTCCTTGTTAGAGCGCCAACTAGTCTTTGTTTATAGGACACTTTCCAAGTACACTGTCATTACAAACATATACAAATGCAGACAGAATTATCAGACCTCCCTATGAAAATTTAGTTTTAGTTCAGAAGTATTTCCAAAGTACTGTTAAACAGAGAAAGGAATTTTTAACACAGCCTGTCCAAACAGCCTAGCCTTATTTTGGATGCTTACATTCAATGCAACGCCAAACTACTCGGTCAAAATGATTAGCTCCTCTGACGTCAATAGTAAACCGTGTGTCCTGTTTTTTTGCTGGTTATCAGCCTGCAGTCGTTGGTTGTCATTTTCAACAAGCTTCTCTGATGTTTCCTGAGCAATCGCAGCCTGTTATGTGATTATCTTCTGGCATGGACATTGGTCTTCAGTTCACCACACAGATTTTCAGTAGAATTCAAGTCAGGGTTTTGCACAGGCCAGTCAATAATGCTCACGTTGGTCTTCTGGGGGTAGCTCTTCACCGTATGTTTTGGGTCGTTGCTGTGTTGGAAGTAGCCAAAGCACTCTAGTTTCATCTCATTAGACCTGCACAGTCCATTGTTGTGTCTGCTTCTAGTTATTGTTCTCCCAAATGGGTTAAGTCATTCACTGGTGCCTCGGTAGTCATTCTGGAGTCTTTACACACCAACTCTCACTAGTTTTCTTTCAGAGGCTTTGAAATCTTTAACTTCTTACTTCGACCAGGCTTGTTCTGTACTCTGTGACTCTTTCGATTTCTTTTGATTTCTGTTCTTAACACCAGGAAATGTTGCGATAACTTTTTATATGGGTCTTCTACTTTGTGAGCATCAATAGTTTTTTTTCCTCAAGTCTAAACCAATTTCTTTTGTTTTTCTGAAATAGTTCTTGTGACAAATAGAAAAATTTCTGTTTTCAAAAGAAAACTAGTATGTTTAGAAATGCTATGTTGAAAACTCTTTGCTCTTTTAAAAAAGCACTTGGGAAGATATTGCCAGAAAAATTCAATTTCATTGATTGTCCTAAACAATCAACATTTAGGATTGGGGCAGCATATCTGTTTTATTCATAACATTATTCAGTCTGCACTTTACCACATGAGATACTTCAATGTCTTTAACTGGTAAGAAGACCTGCTAATACTACATAATTTTAGGAGTGGGCTACACACACTTACTAAGAAAGACACTGTTTTCAAAACACTGAGATTAGCCTCGGTGAATCTAACGGCTTCAAAGCCGACAGGCGGTATAGCTCCGGGCAGACTGTGACACTCGCTTGCTATACACAAAAATGGAAACACAGAGAGACCATGTGCAAAAGCAGCTAGATGGTAGCCCGAGGCTCTGCCAAGAAAGGCTACGTCAGACTGATGCAAGACAAAGTAGAGATGATGGTTAATGTTTAACTCTGTGTGAAATTTATTTAGAAAATTTTGTCTGGGTAAATTCCTGATATAGCCACTAGATAGCAGACACTCAACCATAAAAAAAATCAAACGAACAAGCAAAAAATATAAAATGTGAATTTAAATAACCTAAAGGAGGGACATGCTTGTTTAAATCTAGACATTGCTAGCATAGATTCTCAACGGAGTCTAACTTTTATTAAGCAAAGCAATGCAAGCGTCATCCGTCTCACTCGAGGTTGTTTGTATAAAAATGATAGGTTTATGTATCCATTTGTACGTATAAATGTAGCCTGAAGCATGTTTAAGACTACAAGTGTATTCCGTTTCTTTGCCTCTAAGTACCAAAAACGTGTTTTAGAATAGAATAGAATAGAATAGAAAATCTCTTTATTGTTATTGTACATGTACATCATCAGCCGTTTGGTTTGGTTTATGCTTTCACACCAGTGGCTCTTTAATTAGCTGCAAATCTAACAGCTGAATACTCAAATAGTATCAAAAAAGTTGTTACGCGCTGCCCATAACATCCCCACAGTGTCGGAGTCTCTCAGTGGTGCATGGGCTTTATTGTCTCAAACATGCACACCCGGATACTGATCACTGTTCTTGCTGATAGAGTTTGTGGCTCTCTCATAGCTTCTCTTATCTTCTTACTCTTTTTTGCACTTCATCACTGCACCATATTTCTTTAACCAAAAAACCAAAACCTTATTTGTAAACTTTGGTTTCAGCTTCCTCTTTGCGATGAGGCGCACAAGTTCGGTCGTAACAGAAAAGGCAGAAGGGAACCTGTATGACGCTCTCATTGTCGCTGTGCTGGCAGCCTTATGCCACTGTGGATTCGCAGCGATCTAAGTTGCTTCTACTGAAGCCTTTACTGATATTTGCTTTAGAATATCTAAATATTCTATATGTGCCTGTGCCTGTAGGTCGCTCTCGTTCTTTGAGAATAACTTTTAAAAGAGGAGAACTTTATAACGATTCGTCAGCCCCTTTAGGGAAGTGTCTCTGTTTGAATGGTACTGACAAAAATGAAGGAGATGTGATATTATCTTTATCGCAGTACACTAGAACTGATCATGTCTTCCATTTTCTTAATAAATAGCATGATTGAGCTTTTTTTTTTTTTTTGAAGCGATACCCCTGAAGAATAACACAAACGAAATGCTGTGAAGGCTCATGCCTGAAATCGGTGGTGGGTAATGACCCAGACCATATTTTACTGTGGATCTTGACATGACACCAGTGACTCCAAGCTGAACCCCACTGAGGTTCAGAGTTCATCAGAAAGCATTTTTCATGGGGCATGGTTTGTTTTCCAACCGAAGAGGAGTTACGCTGCGTGAAGTTTTTTTTTTTTTTTTTGATTCATGGGGTTGTAACACTTCCTGTAGGCTGAAAACAAGTATACAAGTCTGGAGTAAAAATAGTAAGCTACTACACAAAAGAACACCCATACACACCACTCAGAAAAATTCGTAATTCACCGCAGATCGACTCTCAGTCAGCATTACATAAGGAGAAAGAAATGCGAGTCTCTGAAAACAAAAGTGAGCATGAAAACCCACATTAGAGAACATTTTTCATTTCTCCTGCAGCTGCTATTGGAGTGATTTTTTTTTTCCTTTTAATTTTAATGAGCTTTTCCTGTTTGATTATTTTTTTTAAAAAAATCCTGGACGTGCTCGCTCCCTGATGGCACAAACTGTGACTCAGCCTCTGAAAGGCTCCACTGTGAGGATCAACACTGCTTACCACACTTTGCAGCACCCACGTTGAGCAGAGTGAGCCGAGATCAGCCGCATCACATGCAGCTCGGCTAATCTGACATTAGAACAAAGACCGCGATATCAAGTAAAGGGGCCAAAGTTTGGGAGCCCTAAGAAGCAAATAGTAGCAGGGTGAGCGTCACTTTTTCTACCGTGTGTGTTCTCTATTATCTTTTCCAAGTAAACAGGTTCCTGAAACGCGTGCAGACAGATGGAGAGGTTGTGTTACAGTCTGCTTGGTGTTAAGTGAAAGATGTGTTGAGGGATACGCTAAGCCACCAGCATTGGCCTTAGGAGGCCCATTTCTGAGAGACGGAGAAAGACGGTCAGGAAATTGAGCCCATATGATGTTTTTTCACCGTCACAAAGGAGATTTAAGAGAGAGACAAGGGGAGCCAAGAGAGCTGCGTTTGTGTGGGAGTCATGGAAAACAGGAGAAAAAGAGAGAGTGCAACCCAGGGCAGGAGAAGAGAACGAGGGAGCGAAAGGAGGCGAGTGTTAGAGACGTTATCTTTACTCGTGCATTTCTGTGCGTGACATCATGCCAGTTGAAGAGCTTCATGGGAGAAGTTGAACTCTTAAATTAATATTTTGCTCTGTATCTGTGTTTCATAACAAATATTTCCACAAAAACGATTAGACCTTGGATTTCAGCTATAGAAACACTCTGTCTTTTTTGAGGTTAATGTATTTTGTGGCATTAAACTGAAGCATCACTGTCTCTCTTACGCCCACAGTCACCCAAAGTGCGCCCTTACACTGCGATGGACGGCGTCCCCTTTTTCCTCAGCAGAGTTAAACCGGAACCTCCCGAAGACCTGCTCGCCCACGACCTGCACTTCCACACGCAGACCGAGCCCGTCGACCTGTCCATCAACAAACCCCGCCCCTCCTCTTCATCCGCCACCACGATTTCATCGTCATCCCCCCTCAGGTCCGCCTTCTCCCCGTCTTCGTTATCGTCGTCATCCTCCTCCTCCTCCTCTCCATCAGTTATCACCTCAGCCTCGTCGGTGCTCACATCGGGCCCTCTGGTTGCCCCGGGAACTGGGGTGAGAGGTCAGCCATATTTGCACATCCTGCACTCTGTGCCTCCGCCTCCATCCAGCCCTCTGAGCCTGCAGGGAGCCGGGAAGCTCGCCAGCCATGTTCACCGCATCCCAGTTGTGGTACAGTCACTGCCCCTCATGTACACCACTGCCGTTCGATCACCCTCCAGCCTCAACAATGCCATCATGCTACCTCTGCTGGATGAGGCCAAAAGCCAGGGCAAAGGTGAGACCCTGCTCACTGAATTTGCTCTATATTTATACAGCTAACTTTGTTCTGTTGGGATTTCTATTAAAGCTCTGTCATTATTTTAATAAGATACACTGCAAAAAGTTCAACTATGATTCAGGTTTTGAACTGCTGCCTTTTTTATCAGCAGCCTGGGCCCCTGTGAAACTCTAGCCCCACATCTTTTGTTCTATCTTCATGTTCTAAGGCGTACTTATAAGGAAATGTTGCTTACCACAACCTAAATCCACTGAGGGTTTTTGGACTTCTATCCTCTACCTCTGCAATAGAGCTATATCTTGAGGGAGGGGGGGACTTTGAGCTGCTACCTTATTTCCCAAGAGGTCACGACAGCGAATAGATTCACTTGTTTGAATTGGCACCGATTTTACACCAGACGCCTTTCCTGACGCAACCCTCTCGATTATCTGTGATTGGAACCGGCCCTAGGAGTACGCCAGCCTGTGACTCCTCCCGATCTCGAACTGGGGGTCTTTTCACATCTATGGCAAATGTGTAAACCACTGCAACTATCTCTCAACGCCTTTATCACTGAGCTCAAAGTCTGAAAGGCTTGCGTGGATCAATCTAATCACTTTCTTTCTTTCCTACAAAATGAGCTACCTGCGATGCCCTGCAGGAAAAGATAAAGCAATACTTTCATAATGCAATTTCTGTGTTCGCAGCTAGTATTACCACGTTTTTCAGATTAAAATGTATCTCAGGGATACATATATTTCAAAAGTTTCTGAATTGAATTGCGTACTTTTTAAGGTCAATTTTTCTTCTACACCAGTGAGTTTTAATTAGGAAATCACATTTTTGTTTTATTGAAAATTACAATTGTAATAAAAAATTTAATGGCTTACCACCTTGTTGGCGTGTTTCACCACTGGTCAGCCTGACTGAAGGATGACCACTAACCTCAACCATGTGACCTAGATACTAATCCAGATTGGGTGAAACCTCTAATAGGACATTTAAGAGTTTGTAAGTGCTGGTACCTGTTCTTAGGCGCTACCTTTTGAGAAATATTACTTTTAAATCCGTTAACTCACTTAAAATAGGTTACAATCATAATAAGCTTCAATGTATTCTTACTAAGAGGTGTATGAATAGAGAAGCCGCTCGCAGCTTTCTCTGGGAACAATTACAGAAGTTTTTTTTGGCTGCACCGGGGTCAGATATAAGGGATGGCACAAACTGACATTTAGCACTGAGGATTTTGAAATGTTAGAGGGGGAAAGCTCAGTGACAAGCTGTGTGGTTTGTTATCTGGCAGGTGTTCTGCTCTGTCTTTAGTCAACACATTGCTGAGAAGGCAGACTGTCATGTCCATGCTTTCAGAATGGCCTCTCGGGCAAAAATGTTGCCCCTTCAGAGGGAAGATAAGGCTTAGAGCTTGAACGCCTTGTTTGTGTTTAACAGCCTCCAGTGCAGGTAGCTTTCCCTCTGTCAAGAAGCAGAAGTCTGGGGTAGTCTGAGAGTTAGACCTCTCCGGCCTTGCCTTGGATGTGTTGTTGGTTTTCTCTCTGGGTGTGGTTTTACTGCCAACCACTGGATGAGAGCCTACAGTAGGTGTTTCTGTCCAAGTCTGAGCTGTACACAGAGCAACTGTTGGTTGTAAAAAAGGTTGCTTCTTTTCATTCCCTGCAGAAGAAATAGACACATTAAGGCTCACACCCGTGCATGTACAGTACGTACAAGCATACAAGCAGTGATATGTAATTAGAGCATGTGCTCAAACAGACACTCGGCCGGCTAGGTGGGGTGGTCCTCAGAGATGGGCGTTTTTTTGGGGTTTTTTTGGTTGTTGTTTTTTTTTTTTTGCTTTTAAAAATGCTAGATGTCAGCTCCCAGGGAGAGGAGAGAGGAAAAGAAGGAAGGATAGGGAAAAACAAGACTTGCATAATAGGGTGTGGATGGATATTGAAGATGGGTGGCACTCAAACAGACGCATCCACACACACATACACAGAGCAACATCAGCAGTGCCCGGCTCTGAACGCACCCAGCACAAAGGAAACGGGGTGAATGAGTGCTGGGTGTGGTGGACGCAGTTACTTTTAATGAGAGTGCAAACAGTTGAGAACCAGAACATTTGGCTATTTATTGCATTTAATATGAGTTCTACAAAATCCAACATTCCACCATCAAAGCCAAATCAAAAATGAATTAAAGCCATAGAAAAAATATCTATATCTGTCTATCCATCTATATATAGAGAGAGTTTTTTTGTCCTTGCCTTATCTGGAATTTCAGGCGTCACTACTGGCCGGTGGTTAAACAAATAGGTTGTTGACATTAGGCAAATCCCGAACTAAATTCAGCCCCCCTCCCACCCCCCACCAAGAAAACTTTAATGCGATTATTAAAGTTCTCAGCGTAGATATGAGGTGCACACTCACTCGCTTTTCACATACATACACAGGTTGGCCATCCTCTTTCAGAGAAGGCGGGTACCCTTTCTTTCACTGCTGTCTCCCTGTCTCCGGTAGGAGGTTGCCATGGAAACAGGGCTTGACTGGAAACAACAGGAGAGAAAGGAAGAAATCCGCTGCTCTGCCCACCTCTCCACCACTCCTCCTTTGTGTCCCTAGTTCAAAATACCCCCACCCTCCAATCCCCATTTCCAAAACGCGATGTATTTCTAGCTAATTACAGGTTTTCCATAGGGTTCGGCGAGCTGGTGACCACTCTGCATGTCTTAGTCTACAACAACAGCAGAAACCTTTAAAAGCAAAAGCTCCAACTGAGTTACAACATTATTTCTGTGTCCAACCCCCCCC